CTGCTGTTACCGTGAGGGAAAGCTGAACACAGCCCCTCAGCGCAGCGCAGCGCAGCAGGGCGGGAACACCAGAGCACCTACTGCGCCATGACCAACTGCCTCCGAACTGAAGGGTGTGCTTCAAATGAAACGGAAAAGAAAAAGAAAAAAAAAAAAAGGCTCCCAAATCAATTAAAAATTAGTTCTAGCTCTCTCATACATGAAAAAAAAAAACATGAAATGACAGCTCAAGGCTCCTGTCAGTCACTGAAACAGAAAATCTTGGGAAAAAATATCACAGAATAAGGGGCCAAGATACATGTAAAAAATTAGCACATCATCATCTTGTTGTTCTTCGACATTTTTTACAACAGCAAAAAGGCAACAATTCATTATCTATCCTAATTATTATTATTATTAAAAAGAAATAGATCTAATAAATTTTGCACTTTTTTAGTGTTTAAGTCAATAACTCAGTCCACTAGCCTCTACAAAACATAGTTATTTTTTATTCATTGGAATTACTCACAGAAGTCAAAACATTTGTATATGTGGCCGTTTCCAAAATAAGACCTAAAGCAATTTTGTTCTACTTGACGTTCTGTTTTATGTAGAGTTTTCATTTTTGTTATACTTGTCTTTATACGTGGTGGTTTAGAAAACCTCACTTTCACCAATCTTTGTACCTTTTTAAGATCCTCTGATGCATTACAGCTCATATCAGAATACGGTAAATCTCCATTCCCCACCTGAGAAAATGAGGAGGTTGTTATTTGAAAGCGTAACACAGAAGAGTGAAATAAAATATATAATTTGCAGCAAATTAATTAACACATGAGATTCATGCATTTGTTTTTAGGTCACCCAGACAACACATGCAAAGTGCAAGCATGTTGTGTGAGCGAGACTCAAATAACCTAGGTTTAAGAAAAAATGAATAAGTAAAATAATTATCTGAATACACAAACAATAATAGGAAATAATTTTCTTCATTTTCACTTCTCTGAATAATTATACCTTTGGGCTATTATGAATAATTTATGAGTTGGCATGCAGTTTACATGTAGTCTATGCATTTATAATAAGATCATTCCAAATAATTCTGGGGCACACCACGACTAGTAAGTGACTTCTTCACAAACAATCTTCTTTTCAGCCTTAGGATGCTTTCCTGAGTGCCCTGCTCATGTTAACAAAAGCTTAATTAAAATATATACATATATATATACACACACACACTCACAGTTAGTTTATTTAAACCTCTTTCTCCCAAAAAATAATGATTCAATAATTCATTGAGGTCCTGAAAATCCAAACTTCCTTAAGCTTTGCAAAATATTGACTAACTGCTTAAACTATTGATCCTTACAGTGATTAGATTGTTGAGACTAAATTTTGGTAAAGGTAATATCCCTTTTTTTCCCAGCAACAGATAATTACGTTGTGCAGTACGTCAAATTAGTCTTGGAAGTACAACATTGTTTCAGAAACAAAAAGTTGACTCAATGTTCTAGCTTCTGACAAAAGAATACATGGGTGCCATGTGAAACAATTACAAGCTGATTGTCTATTGAAAGTCTTGTTTGCCAAGAAACAGTTTATTGTGCACACACTAAAAAAGAAAATAAAAAAAAAAACAAGAACACAGAAAACTTTTTTTTTCTACTTTCATCTACAGTGAATTTTACTCTTGACCCAAGATTAAAAGGCACTTACAAGTATACAATAGAACTAAACATTCTCTTCTCTCAAGGCCATTGTACAAATTTGTAAGTACACAGTATTTTGTCTTACAGCATAAGTAAACTATACTTAATGATTACAAAAGTGTTATATAAAGAGATAAACTAGAACAAAAGATCTTTTGCAAAATACAATTTAGCCTTTATGCATTCATTCACAATACTGTTTTTTTGTTGTTTAAGTGGCCTTTTAAAGAAAACATTTTGTTCAGTTTGTTTATAATGTTTTTATTTCTTTACAGTACATTTTATTGTTTCATCTTCAAAATGCAACAAAAATAATGTGTACCAACTGAAACCATTTTTTCAAAGTCCACATATTTATGTATGAATTGTTTGTCCGCATGTGTCTCAAAAATATGCCCATGTGCTCCCATACAATTTGAATCCACAGTATGGAGTTTATCTTTTCAACTGCATTACACCTATACACCTGAACATGCCTTCAAAATATATGATATTCTTCAGAAAGGTCTAAAAAACGACCAAGAAAAAGGTTTCTGACAGCTACCCAGAGCACTGACATATCTCTATCTTCCACCCACCACATTGTGCTAATAATATCCCAGCAGCTTAGCCCTCTGAAGATCGAGGAGGCAGCAGACAACACTTCCACTATGCCAGGAGAAGGAGGGATACAGGGAAGCAGAGAAGAAGGACATTGGGAACACCAGGAGGAAGTTGTATCCAGAGCTGCTGGATTTTGTGGCAACTACCAAAACCCAACTCAATTAGAAGTCTGGATTACATCTCCTTCAAACGCGGCTGCGTTAAAGCCACTCTTTGCCACAACCTAAACACTTTCTATGTATGGCGGGGTGTGGGGGGGAAAGTTCTCCTCCCTTAAACAATTTTCTTTGTTCTAACATCCTCCATCTCCTCCAATACTTAGCTCCTTAGACAGCTAGATTCTTTTCTCTCTGATGCCCTAAGTATCCTATAGGATCTTTCAGTAACGCTGAGTGCCAGCGAGGCTGGTCTTGCTTACCTTCATCCCGAGCAGCTCCATCTTACCTCTGCTTTAAATTACTAAGCATGTAATAAAGCAATTGATCTTTATAAACAACAAGGTCAGTAGCAGATTTGTGACAAAACGTTAGTAAACGCTACTCCTCCTAGAAAGGGGCAGTGAGAAATGATCACCCAACATGGGAACTGTTGGTATTTGAGAAGTGCATCCTTCTCCCTCCCGAGGAAACGAAAGGTCACAAGCCAGAGAAGGCCGCCCCAGACGCCATTCCCTGTCTTTGCTGTTTGCCCTTCTGCTCTGAGAGCAACTGTTCATTTAAAATACTCTTTCCATAAACACAACTTTCATCATATCAAAGCATGTATTGCCTAAAAGGTTCAGTGCATTGGCTGGCTGCACGGTCAAAGTTCTAGTATCCTCAAACAAGCATCTAAGATCCTTAATTTAGGCACCCGTTCAGGGAAGGGAAGGAGGCAGAAAGAGCACAGCTATGTCACGTGTGCCTGTGACATGAAACAGGAAAAATGTGGAACGAGTTAAAGGGGAGAGAATAAGCAAAAATGTTCTACTTCAATTCTGACCCAGCTTGGCAGACAGAAGGCCGCTTTCATAAATGGGTGTTGCCCTTGTCCTCCAAGTATGGGTCTATTTATGGAGGTAGTTACAGAGTAAATGCACTTAGCAAACTTCTCATAACAGAGAAAGTCACAAAAGTTCTCTTTCCTCAGGGTGCTAAGATGAAAAGATCTAGAAAAAAAAAAAGTGACACCTGGAACTTCTTCAGAGCATAAAATACCAGCAAATTTTGCTACTTCCATAAAGATGCAGAGTCCTCTTCTGTACACACACACACAGATTTTGTTTTCTTGTCCAGATATTATTCATCTAAGACAGCAATTTTTGTGACTGTGTACATACTCTGAAAGTTAAACACACTTGCAGCTTGCACAAACAAGTGTACAAGTCCAAGTGGAGTGTCTATAATTAAGCAAATACCTTAACGTATTGCCTGCATTTGAATATACATTTAAAGATAAACATACTAGAAAGCAGAGAGAAAAAAAAACTGCATAGACACTAAAAAATCCATTTTAAAATTGATTTTTTTAATGAAGTAAAGAAAAGCAGTGGGGGGAGGGAAAATATGTACATATGTATGTGTATATGATTTTACCTAAAAGGCAACTAGCACAAAACAGGGTCTGATATATTTATGCCATGTAACATTTTACTACATAAATACTGAAAACTAAACCTAATAAAGTACCAGAAGAATCCTGTCTTTTCCACATGGGAATCTCATGCTGTATCCTGTCATGCACAACGAGATTCTTATTCCTCTGCAGAGTACAACTGTCTGTAAGAATGCAACCTGAAATAAGTAATTATTTTAATGCAATCAGAAATATTATCTACGAATTTCTTGCTAGGTGCCCTGTACTTTAAATGGTTTATTAGAAAGGAAAGCTGGATTATCTCTCGAGATCAGTCTTTTAAATTAATATCTTTTATGTTCTAAATAATGTAGGCTATCTAAGTAGCAGAGAAATTGGAAAATTTATGAGTAACATTATAGATGGTTATAAAAAATTAACCTTTCATTTTTTTTCTTTGAAGGAATCCTGCTACCTATTCTTTTTAAATTCACAGTAAAATATCAGCAAATACTCATGATATTCATTCTCGTATTTCAGCAAGAAGCTTTTCTCTGTTAACACTGAACGTTCAATATCACCTAACTGGGGGCATAAACACCCATATGCTGCATGCAGTGTCCCTCCAAAAAATAAAGGTGAAAACCCAAAGCAGACACATTGATCAGCACAGCTTCGCAAGCGCGTATAACCAATTCCTCGGGGTAATAATAGACAACACGACAAATATTTCATATTTTCTAGAATATGCCATTAGCAATACATGGAAGATGCACGCTTGCAATATCCATACAATTCCCACACTTCTCTCCAGGAAGATCTAGCCAGGGATTTACTTCGTCTTTCTTCACATACCCCGACACCTCCCAGAAGACCAGCTGCAGTTTTGCTCTTGACTGTGCTACGTACAAAGGAATAAGAATACTCGCTAGCTCAGATAAAACACCCTCACTTACAGGACATGCACGGGGTCACGTTAAAATCAGGAGGCCACAGACACGCACATTTCCCTCCAACTAGTAACCCATTATGGCTGATCACAGGCACTGAATAAATCAACACATGTTGCTAAGCCCTTCAACAATCAAAATCTACAGCTGATGAGCTCTCATTTCACATTATTTTCAACAAGATAAAACAACATGCGCACTTTACCTCTGAATGCATCTGGTCTTCGGCTTGCAGGTGGGTACCCTCGGCTTAAAGGAGCCTGTAGAACTTCATTTAAATTTTTATAAGCCACACGAAGAAAGTGCTCTGCAAACTGCCCTATCACAGGAACTGCAGCACACAGGGAAGTAGCAGAATGTTGAAAACCTTCATTTTCTTCTAATTCATCCTATCAAAGACATTTGTATTTTCTCTTTAGTGGGTTTGAGTAGATAAAGATTATCTCCCTTTCCAAATAACTACGTACTCTTGCCACTTCAAGATTTAAATTATATGCCCACTCTCACAGCATGAGATAGAACACTTGGCCAAGGATTTCTGATGAATTCAGTATTTCCTTTTTAAAATTACTTCCTTCTCCTCCCCTGCATACACAAATAAATAACCTGCATCCAAGTGTACGTACACTGAAAATGTATAAAGAGACCATGATTTGAATCATCCAAGATCCTTAGATACACTTTTCCAGTAAATGATCTCCCCAGATAGCAACAGATTTCAAGATTAAATCTCTGCATAGTTTCAGTGCTCTTAATCCAAAGCCCACACTGATGCATACCAGTAACATTAACCATAATTACATTTATTTAAACATGGCCTTATTTCAGAGTACTCTAGGTATAAACAATTAGTTACTGAAGACACTTTTGCAAAGCAAGAGCTTCCTCTGCCATCTTCAAAGAAAAGTTTTAGATGAAACAGAGGGGGAAGCAATGGGGAAAAAGGCACCTGCCACATACTGGTATCAACATGAGAGGTAGGATTTGTGATGCATGCATCAATTTGGAACTGACCTCCCTCAGCGAGTCACATAGTTACTTGGTTCTCCTGAGAAGTCACTGTCACTCTTAGCTAGAGCATCAAGCCAAGCATCACTTTGTCTCCTCTCAGACTAGGACACAGCTCATCACCACGCTCCTCCTTTCCACCATTTAGTGACCGAGATGGCCGGCTTTGAATTCCTCTCCATCTCTTTGCGAACATGCAAAAATACATAGAAATTTTCACTAAGGACTCTCTCCTCTACCCCATGAGCTCTCAGACCTTCCTAGACCTCTCAGAAAGAAAGCCTTATCGGCAAAACTGATGTGGAAAATGCAGGAACACTCATGCCTTTGGCCTATAAAGGAAGCTGTTTTTCCCTGCTCTTTCCAACCTCTTTACTAAGATCCCAGCTGAACAAAACACAGTAATAACACAGAATAAACAGGAGACTGGAAGACTATTTTATATGCAAAGTATACTTTGAGAGTGGTGTTGTGATTGTAGTAAATTCTCAAAAGAATTATGGAAGCAATAAACTGCACACCTGCACATTCTTCAGTTTCTTTGCTTCATTAAAAAAAAAAACAGAGTCCTGAATGATACTTACATGAGGTCAATGTTCAATTAAATCTTAAGTGTTGCTTTCATGGAACACTTTATATAATTTTGCTAGAATATACAGAACAAAATGAGTAATGGAGCTCGTATTTGTATTCTGTCATTCTGTATTAGCGTTGTGTACAGAAATCAAGATCTAAACAGTTAGTGATGAGGGAGGTGAAGAAGGGAAATGAAAATGTCAAAGACAGGAAGAAACTGTTAAATGGCACCGAGTGCCTGGGTGAGGTGTTTGTCTACCCATGTGCTGCTTGTCTTTCTTAATCTATCATCAGAAAGGACAAGGAACCTCAGGAGGGATGAATGGCCCAAGTCAGAAGGATGGAGCGGGCTACATCCCTGACTGCCTCGGGCAATAGCATGCTTGCCCTAAACTGTCAGTTTACGGTCTTCAATGCAATCTGCCTCCTGTCAATGTGAAATTCAGAAATTGGAATCTGATGTGACTCGTAGCCTTCAAAATTAAAGAGTTCACATTTTTTCAAATGATAAAAGATGGAACAAGGACTACAGACGTTTTCTGGGGGGATCACGGCCTGGGAGGGAACACGCATTCCAGAGAACTGGTTTGCCTCATTTTTCACTTGAGCTAATGGTGATCGCTCAGAGACTGAGTGGAAGTGGTTGGCCCAAATGACCACCTACCCATGAAAGAAATATGGGCTGGAAAATGAAAGGAAGTCCTAATGGAAATGTAAAAGAGAGAAGCAGCAGTGCCATTATTACTATCTCTAGGAAAGGGATGGAATAACAGAAGGCTAAAGTTGATCTGAATCGTTAAAAATGAAAGCAGAGAGACAGAAACTTGCTAAAGTTTCTGCACATCAGTTCAACTCTTTGGTTTCACAGTAGGTAAAGAGATGATGAACAGGAGGGAAACCACCAGGTTATACATTTAATGTTGCTCTTGGAGCTAATACAGCACAATAGTGTTGATTAAAAGAGAACAGGGCACCTGTATCTAAAAATAATGTAAACACGAACATGTTAGGTAATCTCAGTTTGTCCTAGTTCTTCTTTGCAAAGGAAATATATTTTTAAATGTGATGCTGAATGGCCATTCAAAGCAGTGAGAAAGGAGAAAAAGAGGTGTTTGAATACACGGCAAACAGAAGAGGTCTGCAGAAGCATGCAGTTCAGAACAGCCATTCTCCTCATACAGCATGAAAGCTCACTGAGAGGATTATATCCTATTTCATCAGAAATAAGTGTTTTAGATTTTATTTTGTTAAATCTTTCTTACAGCTGGGGATTTCAAAAGAGTTATTTTTTACATTTGCTAAGGATATTTCATAAATCAAGGCACATTATAATTATTAAATATTCTGGAATATTTACAATAATACCACAAATCTTGAAAGAAATCAACCCACAGCTTTTCACTGACACAAAGTCAAAGCATAGATCTGATTGTGTTTTTACCAGAAGGGTCCCTGAAATTCATTACTCTTTAAAGAAGTCTGGCTGCTATTGGGGTCTCACGCTGAAATTACTGAATAAGAGAGATGTTATTAATCAATCATGCAGCCAGTTAATCCAAATGATTTTTTTTCCTGTGATACAAGTCTATCCAAAATGCACAGATGATCAGACTCAGGCCTTTACAGACAGAAAAAGTGACAGAAAAATATAGAGATGAGCAATATAGGGGCATGTAGGGAAGTTAAAAGTGAGAAGAGAAGTAATACTTTTCTTTAAAATTGCCAATAAGGACTTCAGAGTCAGCTTAAATTTTTAAAATAATTTCTGTAACTTGCAAAGGCTACCAGCAGAATTTCACAACTGGTATTTCCAGAAGCATCTAGTAGATCTATTTGTACTTTCACTTATGTCCATAGTTTAAAGCAACTGAGACCTGCCTTTACAGGCACATCACAAATATCAGTGTGGTCATTGTGGGAACCTTCAGGCATCTCTGTTTCACTTTTGGGGTTTACATGTAACATAAAACTGGAGATTATGCTAAAGCAGAGGCTATTGCTACTCTCAAGAAAAACTAGAGGCTTTCCTATCTCCTAACAAGAGGCCCAGGCAAACACATGCCGGCAGTTTAACAACAGACAAAATAGGTGAAAAGGATGCTGAAAATACAAACACGACCACCTCAGCTGTGAGGAATGATGCCCAACTACCAGATGCTTTAAGCAGCAATCCAGGCAACCTGCTACCAGGGCAGCTACTACCATTAGGGCAGCTAATTTTTTTTATTATTTTTTTTTATTTATTTTGAATAGCCTCCAGAATCTAAAATGGTTGCTGGCATGGTGACCTTGGCAGAGGTACTGCTTTAAATGCAGTACAGGCATCAGAAGCTGCCTGCTTATTTCCTACAATCTGCTTTTTGAGGTTCAGTGACAATGTCCTTCTAGATTGGGAAAAAAAAAAAAAAAAAAGGAAAAGGCAAAAAAAGTTCAGCAGACGATAATTTTTTTTTTGAAATTTCCAGCAGTATTTCACTACTCACTTTCCCAGAAAAAAAAAAAGAAAAAAAGAAAAAAAGAAAAGAAAACATAACTACATAACTAACTCATTCTCCCTCCATAAGCTCAGTAATTAATACAGGGAAGAAGGGAGAAGGCCCCAGGTAAAGGATGAGAGGGAAAGAAGAAAAAGAAATAAAGCAGTCTTCAGGATTATGACACCAAATTTCTAGCATAGCAGCCTAATCTCCATTTACTGTACTAAGATGAAGCTTCTTTATGGAATACTTCATGTATGGAAGAGATTACTCTTCACCATCCAAGATAGAGGTTTTTTTTTTAGCTCAACAGATTTACAGACCGAGCTCTAGTGAATGCTTGTAATAAAATTGTTTCTCATTTAGCAGATTATTCCAATATGCAGAAATAGCATCCCAAATGCAAAAGTAATTCAACTTCATCCTCATCCCACCGTAACTATATATCTGCCCTAATAGTAAGATCATCACTGACCACATCCAAGTTGCCTTAGGTAATATGAATCTGCAGTGATCTTAGAAGACTAAAAATAATTTAACTTGAAAGATGCAAGTAAAAGGCAAATTGCTCTGCTGCCACTTCCGAATGCAACAATCACCGAAGGCAGAGCTCATTTTCACGACAACCCGAGTGCTGAAGGAAACTGGTTCCTGCACTCTCCCCCGCCTCGATAGGTAAAGCCAAGGGAGCTTTAGAAGCATCTTAGAAACAAACAAAAAAAGCAACTTTTTTATTCAGTCCAGTGCACAAAAATCCTAACAGCTTTTCCAATGTTTCCAGATTCCTATTACAAAATATTCTGTTGGGTTTTAGTGTATATTATGTTTCTCTTTTTAATTAATATTGTTATTGCTTACTATTTCTCCATGTTTAGGTAATCTCTTCAAAGCTTTAGCTAAAGCTTCCTACTGGGAAAATTACAGTCAGGTAGTTGAAAATATAATGTAACAATTTTAAATTTAAATATATTATGGCGTTACTCTCACCCCAGTCGCTCTGAGGAAGTTGCTTAAGGATCCAGTTAACAAAAGGTCACTCTTTTTTGTTTATTTTTTAATGTCAGAGAAAACCTCAGGGCCGTTACAGAGAGCTCTGCACGTGCTGCAATATGGGAGCGAAGAGAACTTGTCGAGGGGCACCCGAACTAGTGACTGCTTGGGAGAACCCAAAGCCTGTGCTCAGGTGACAGTGACGACGGCTCCGCCACGAGGACACGCTCCAGGACGTGGCTGCAGCGCTGGGATACTTCTCCTCAGTGCCCTTACCAAACACCTGCAAACGAACATGGCCGCCGCCACGGCCTTCCATCTGCCTCAGCACCGCCAACCATTCATCGCTTCAGAAGCTTCCGCGTCTTTCTGAGCAAAATCAACGCTGCTTGCGAGGATGGGGCATGTCAGGCCCAGATTAGCCACCTAGCAGACTTCATCAGCCACAGGGAGGTGCCCCAGAAATTCCAGCTGCAGTACTGAAGCAGCAAGGCGGGCTTCATCAATTCCATTTATTCCATCTGCCAGTAAAGCCAACGACACAAATGGTCCGAGTTGCACTTCCCACACTTACAAGCTGCTTTCAATTTAAAGAAACAAACAAGCAATGAAAGAAATCCCACACGCTATCAAAAAGAAGATACTAAGGAAAAGCTGGAGATGAAAGACTTGGACAGGACGTAAAGGGCAAAACAAGCAAAAACCAGATGCTACAATAGCTGTGGCCAAAAGAAAAGATTCTTAAAAAAAGAACTTACGAACAATGAGAAATACATGGAAAAAGAAGACAAGGAGAAACAGCAAATGTAATACAAAGAATACAGCATAGGGGAAAAAATAAAAGCAAAAGCTAGCTTGGAGAGGGGAAGAGGAGAAGGGACAAACCAAGGCCAGGAGAAATTAAATCTGTCTTTTAAATAATCAGAAATCATTACAAAATTCATGAAATCATATTAATTTAAATATTTTAAATCAAATGTTTCACATTTTCTACTTCCTGAAAGCAAATGTGTTATTCTCCTCCCTTATCTATGCAGAACCATCACAGCACCCATACGTTACATAATTGTTTAAAACACTAGTTGAAATATGAACGTTTTAAGAGCAAGCCAAATATCACATCATGTAACACAGGCACCCGTAATCAAAATATATTGTAGTTGATGAAAATAATCATGTTTGAAGAAGGCTGCCAATGTCCTACCGCTTCAACTAGCCGATGATATGTATATATTACTATGTAGTAAACAAGAGGTTAGTACCATCCAAAAGTCATCTCAAAGATCTGGAAATATGCACATTGTTTTGCACAAAATCATTCAAAAAGAGGCAGAGGACAAGCTGCTGAGTACAGTATCTAACCATTTCCATACAGAAAAGTCCAACTGAATAAAACAACTATAATGTTATAGGAAAGCACCACACATCAGGAAGACTTTTTACTAGACTGTGCTGACTCTGCATAGCCTTAAAGATTGTTTATTTCCTGCAAGTACAGCTCTGTAGCTGTATTTTCATCATAACCTGTGCATAACATTTAATCACTGAGACCTACTCTCTTACTTCTTTCTTTAGAATTAATGAGCCTACAGAAGTATCTTTGGATAAAAGGACAGATTAAGTTTGACTTCCATTACCTATTCCTCCTTTTACAGCTATGTAAATCAGAAGGTGAGAAAAACTTACTACCATGACCAATTTCTAGAATTTAAAATATACTAAGTTGGAGCCAGAAGAAATGTTGTGAAATTTTAGGAAAAACTTTCAGAGCAGGAGGTGTCTTTAAACATCTTACCTTCTTAACTTAGAAATATAGTTTTTCCTTTGAGATGTCAGAGAGAGAAAGATACACCATAAAATTCTGAGCTTTAAGATTTTGCTAATTTGATATTCTACGTTTGGGAAATATCTTTTCATTATTCACTCAGCTCCTAACATTATAAAGCACACTATAAACTCAGACTAGCTAATGCAAGGCCCCACTATTAGGATGAAATTTAGCGACATAAGAGATGCACGGATTCTCCATCAACCTAAAAAAAAAAAAAAAAAAGCCAGAATGCCAAGGTTAGAATGAGATTGTAGCAACTCAACCTATGGCTGCTGTAACTTCAATAGACAGACGGCTATAATAAGCATTTTTATTATATTCAACTTTTTAAAATCAATTCTCATGAAAGAAAAGTAGTAATTAAATATTGAATAGATAAAAAGCAAAGTAAGAAGTTTAGAAAAAGCTGGTGTTTTTCTTATTTCTTTTTATTCTTGCTACTTTTATTCCCTGAATCCAATGTCATTTCAGTATACAGAGTATACAGTGCAGTAAAAGCCAGCTTTTCTTGCCCAAAAATTCTATTTTCTGCCTCTTGTCTATGTGCTGACAGGACGACGCTGCTAAGCAATGCAGTCAGCCTCTGAAGGCCATCAGGGTCAGAGGAGGAAACTGCAGAAAGAAGAAAAGAATCACAAGACAAATTCAGCAAGTTTAAAGACGAAAATCAGTATTTTTGCAGAATGAGAAAAATAAACTACTATTCTTTCCTCTTACTGGTGTGTATATATATATATAAGCTTTAAGATATGCTGTTGCAGCCCCAACAAATATGGCATTACAGCCTTAGCTCTCATTCAGCTGGGGATAAGGAGCTAACATAGTATTTTCTAATTTTCTATGCACACTGCAAGGCCTCTCTGGAAGCAGGGAATATGTGAAACATTTTCATCATAAAATTATATCCAAACAGTTGGTATCAGTGGGAAGGAGAAATTTGCACAAATGATTATTTTTTAAAGAATAAATGTAGAAATAAAAAAAAATGAAATTCTGCAAGCATGTATTTAAAGAGAGCTCCCTCTGGTCTCAGATGACAAACTCCTTTCATTCATTTTTTCTTGGAGGATTTTCCACTTGTTAGGTCTTTGTACCAGGACCATAGTTTGGACTCAGATTACAAATATATCTGCCTGTAAGAGTAGCATGCATCTGTCATTAACCATTTCGGCAGAGCTCTTACGGCAGGGTATTTAGAAGGACAGAGACGTGCTACCTGCAGGTAGGTCAACCCAAAAGATTAATGGTTCCTAAATGTAAAAGGTTCTATTCAGGTAGAATTTGACTGTTTGGATTTCCAGTTAAGAACATGGGGTACACTAGAAACCCAGGCACAGAAGAGAACATTGATACATGTCATAATCCCACCTTGCTTTGCAGAATAGTTATATTTTCATAACAGTTACATTCTACTTCACCATAAGAAAACAAATTAAGGAGGCCAAACTCCTCCCTTGTTATGTCCAAGAGGGGATTTGCTTGGTTCTAAGCAAGGAGCAAGATAGGACTGTCCCCAACTAAGTCACCACAATCCTCCCAGGAAAGGCAGACAAGACAAGATTACATTTTGGCATGTGGGCTGAGAGCTCCCAGGCCAACCATGACCTACTTTTTTTTTAAACACAGAATTGTCGGGAAGAACCAACTAGCTGCTTTCTATGAGGCAGAGCTGAACCAACTAGCTGCTTTCTGCAAGGCAGAGCTACTGGCAGCTTCGGAAGCCCTGGACACGCGGCCGCCCGCAGCCAAAGGGTTCAGGAGAGGATTTCCTGAGACATGGGGCAGAACTCGCACTGGCTAGAACCAGTGCTTCTTCATACCACAAAGTAAGAAAGGAGGATGGGCTGCAAATTCTGATTTTGACTTACTACAACTTAGTCAGCTCTACTGATTCTTATAGTGAGGTGGAGGGAAACTGGAAAGCCAACAAACTGACCTCAGAAATAAACCTGACAGAAAGCTGCTGGGCCTAGAGAGAGCCTGTGGCTGCCTCTGCACATGCTGCAGGTGTAACCAGCAGGGAAAAGCAGCCCAAGAGACTTTGAGCTTTGGGGAAAAGGGGGCAGAAACTATTTGGCCATGGTAGATGACCTCTCCCAACTCCATGCAATGCAACTCTCAAGTGGGACATTCTGCCATCCAATCCTCTGGGATCTCCCTCTACATTTCCTCTCTCTGTATATGAGCCAAACCAGAGGGCAAGGTCAATCATTTCAGCTACTACTGCACTTACCCTGCTCTTCTGAAAGCAGTCGATAAGTCATTACATTCAATGGCACCTTAAGATATAAAAATATAAAGGCAAAATACACCTGTAAGTTCTCTTTTATCTCTGTAACATTAAAAGCACAGTAACTTGAACATTTAACACACTGCAGCAGTAGTAAATTAAATCAAGTGCCAGAATTTTTAAGACGGAACTAGTTTAGAAGCTAGTTCTTCAGCACAGAAATGAAGGGCTCCTTCTAAAAGCTCACAAGGAATATAAGAACTGTCCTGTTTTACTACAACTGCTTTGTTTCATAAGCACCAGCCATTTAAAATGCATTCTGCATTAATGATAATTATCTAGACACATTCAACCATGAATCAACCCACATTCAACCTATTTACTAGCCCAAAGGTGCATGACAGCAAAACTGCCGCCCGCTGCCGGCCTCTCCGCCACGTGCCCTGGACCTGCTGCAGTTCAGGCTCCTGCCGCGGCCGCCGTCAGTGCCACCCCGCAGCCCGATGCGTCGGGGATAATCCCGAGGTTTACCCAAGCGGCGCTCTATTATCTCGGGCCCTTGGAATGTGCCGCATCAGAAATCCAAGGGATTAAATGGAAGCAGCGCTGCTGCAAAGTGCTGACGCTGGGGTAGTGAGGGTACTGAGGCAATCACAGCAATCTAAATAAACAAACAAATAAGAGAGAAGGAGAGAGGAAGAAAAAGAGGAAAAAAAAAAAAAAAAGATTTTGCTTCCTTCTACAGTATCTTAATCAGTCTTGCCATGTCCCCTGGTGAAAGGTCTGCAACCATATGTTTTGGGACCAGGTGATCAAGCAAAGTCTGTTTTTTTTTCCACATTACATGTCCTCTGGCTCAGCAGCTGTAACAGTAGCACTTCAGCCAAATATGAAGAATAACGAAATATTTTTAATGTTTACTTCCGATAAAAGTGTGTTGTAACACAGGAAGAAGCTAACACAGATGAGAGTGTCTCAAGTGGCTTAAACTATGTAAAATCAGGACCTGATCCTCAAGGAGGAAAAGAAAAAGAAGTTGGAGAACATTTTCATGCTTTACTTTTACTTACACAGTAACTCAGGTTTATCCAAATTTAGAGAACTCATAACTAGTCCATTATTGTGGTTTGCTATGGAAGCTCTAATGATTTTACACAACCAAAAGCAGTTGAAATTAGTGCCCCACAGCAATAAACTATTGCCCATAACACTCACTTTCAGCAACATGAGAAACAGAAGTCAGAGATGAGCAGCCTCTGAGACAGCGCTTCTGTTTTAGCTAAATGAATCTCTAATGGTACTAAAGAAACAAACAAAAAAAGACTTAACCAACAGTGATATTACAGCAACAGTGATATTACAAAGATTTGCTACCTGTTAATCAATATCACACAGCAACACCAGATGTTAAGTTCTTGTCTGTGTTTCCTAGACCTAAGGGAAAAAAAAGAAAAAAAAAAAAAAAAAAAAAAAGCATTTGCTAACTGCACTGGTCCACAGATCAAAAACAAAAAGGGAAAAATAGAAACACCAAGGCTATATATATTGAAATGCCATTTTCTTTGTTATTTCTCTCGCTACCCACAACTCTACTAAATTATCATTCATGTGTTCTTACTTAGGTGTTTTTCCTTTTTTGTTCTTTTTTTCAGTGATGAAATTCCATCTACTTGTCTGATATTTCAATGATAGCTCACAAATTTTAATTGAGAGACCAGATGAATTAACATGTTTTGTCCTGAAAAAATGCACAAGTACAAACCCTTGCTGTACATTTCTCAACACAGACTATAATAGCCTGAAAATAAACATAAGTCTGAAGTTTGCTCAGTAATATTACAGTGAGAGTTAAAATTTCATATTAAACCCACTATATTTCTTCAGCAATTTGCTCATTCTATTTCTAGCCCCTGTCTAAATACTACTAATTACTTAAAATAAATACCTAAAATGACCTGGGACATTTTTTTTCCTCTGGGCTATCTTTCCTCTGATTTTTACAGCAATTATTTGCTATGTCTGCTGCTGTGGGAACATTGGCATAAACAATTAGAACACGGAATGGCAAAGTAGGCAAATTGATAAATGGAAGTAAGAATTACAGCCATATAAAACCTTCAGGGAGTGGGGCAACCTACAAAAGAAAAGGCACTCTCAAAAATGTCATGCAAATTATAGAAAAAAAACACTCTAAAAAAGGAAGCTCGCAATTCACAATGTTAAGTAATAAGCTCTTTGTTGCTTTAAATTCACCTTTAATTATTTTCTTTATTTAACAGACAAATTAGGGCAATATTCAAATGTGCCATTGCATTTCTGCCAGTCTATTTAATAAAATTGTAATAGTAGTTTTATCTGAAATTATTAACCAAATATGGCAAATTTGTCTTTTTTGCAAAGAACAGATTTGCGACTTTTTTTTCCAAGACTAATAATACCCATTATTTGCCATAATTCTCTTGCAGGCTTTTCTTCTTTTTTCAGATGATACTCTGATAGAAACATCTTTTCTAGTGGAAAACACTTATTAGTTGAAACCTGGATGTGAACTAACAAAAAGATACTATTCCTTCTCATTTTACTACTATTGTTACAGTTGTTACCCATTACCCACTCGTACTTGAGTATCTATCTGTGGTATTACATATCCTGAACAGAATGGTTAGGGTTGAGTTTAAAAGTTGGTGGGTGGAATATGGCCACTGACCCACTGTTATTTAGCAGAACTAGACCACAAGAATACGCCTGTGAATCTTTAGATTTTCAGGCTTGTTGAAGATATTCAATTATTTAAAATTCCAATTTAATTTTTGAGGACACACAGACAGAGCAAATCTTCAGAGAGACTCCGCTTCATTTAGTTCCTTAAATTAGTATTGGGACCCTAATGTTTTCATTGTTTGGACTTTAATGTGCTGATTACTTTGTTGATGTCGGTTTATTAAGGGATGGGCTCAGTGCTCCCAATTAATGATTTTAATTATTGACTCCTTAGGGTGTTTTTCCTGTTTTTTTTTTTTTTTGTAGTTGATGGGCACAAAAAATATCTAGTTCTGTTTTTCTTGGAAATAGCGCACACTTGTACTTGTTGTGCGCTCGTAACGGCAGGGCGGGCCGAAAAGCCGCCCGACGTGGCTCTCTTTGCCCCCTTCCCTGCCGATGCCCTCGTCACGGGCACCTCGCTGGCACGGTTTGTTCTCACATCTCTTCTCCTGAAGATGTGAAGCTCTCATCTCCAAGGCAGAGGAACGAGCCCCACGCCGGCAGCAGGCCGGCCGCACGCCAGGCAAGCGGGGAATTCAGCGTCCCCATTTCACGCCGGTCACAGCTCAAAGCAAACATCTTCCATCCATGCTGTGGTAGCCAGGTGGCGAACTGAATATTTAAATTTAAGTACGTGGAATTATCGCTGTTTTCTAGATGAGCTCTTGTTTCACATTCCTAATTTTTTCATAGCCATCTGAGGTTTTCTTTTACCTCATATTTCCCCGTGTTTCAGTCACATCCGTATCAACTGAGACTTCTGTAGAAACTCCGGATTACGCACTGCCAAATTGTCTAGCTGTAGAGCTGGCAACAAATGACTTCTGAAGTAGGTCTAGCTGACCTTTACCTCTCCTGCCTGCCGGTCACAGCTCAAAGCAAACGTCTTCCATCCACGCTGTGGTAGCCAGGTGACAAATTGAATATTTAAATTTAAGTATGTGGAATTATCACTGTTTTTAAGATGAGCTCTTGTTTCACATTCCTAA